CTTCTCTTTGGTTGTTTATCCTTTGGCCGGGGACTCCATAAAGAAGTGTTTGCGCCCGAAACGGGCCTGGAGATACCTGTTCAAGTAAGTGCCTCCTGAAGCAGCCTTGCTGCATCAGCAGGATCAGCCAAGACGTCCTCCTTGGGGACAGAAATAGAGCTCGTAGGTAGACCTAATTTCATGAACAAGCTAGAAGGGTTCAACCAAGTTCTTAACATAAAAAATGGAAGCAAGGTAAGTTAAAATTACCTTGATTTTTGGCATTCCACCCGTATTTAAGGGTCAATTCTTTCCACAAACGAGTTTCGGGCGTCGTAATGTCCAAAATCTTCTGAACTCACTGGTCCAAGACTTCCACCACCGGTGGGATCCATCTAGTTACTGAAACATGCGAGGGGTGAAGAGTCAATATGACCATAAAAGAATATTTAGTGAAAGAAAATATATTAAATAAAGATCTGACGAGTGCAGTTCCAAGCGGCCGGAAAGGATGAAGTCATTGTTGGAATAATATTATTGGTGGCAACTGCAACGAACTGTTCCGTCCACCCACAATCGTTATCTTCATCCATGCTAGTCAACAGAGCATGGTGACCACGTTTGCAGAGGTTTATCATACCTCCACAGAAATTCTTGGGGGAGTAGAAATTCATTATACAAGCTAATATTAGATTTTCTCTAGTCTCCTGGTACAAGCGCCGAAGGCAGGCGATTGTCCTCCACACTGAAGGACTTACCTGTGCCAAACACACTTGGTAGCGAAGGCAAAATTCCGCAATCGTGAAATTAAGCTTTCCACTCAAAGAAAATGCACCCAAAGTAAAAGGATACGTGTAAAAGTATGTAAAACCTTCCTTGGGAAGGGTCATTCACTCCGATAGATCAGGAGCAATGTTATCCAACTCATGGCAGCGGTAGTCTTCCTTCATAGCAGGAATACTGAAATGATGAATGGAAGAAGGGTACTTACTAACAACCCATGTACGAGGGTTAACAGTCAGGGATTTATCTGTTAAGTCCTTTCTGGTACTGAGTCTTCTTGGGATGATGGAACCACCGTTGGAGGAGCAGAGTCCTCGACTTTGTTCTTGTTCTTTGAAGAACCAGCACACTTGGAAGAAGACACCATTGATAAGAAAAAGGAAAAGGTTTTTGTTTGAAGAGAATTAGAGAAAAGATGGAGAACAAAGATGCAAATCAGAAGCTCGAGAAATTATGAAGTGCAAAGGAAAATAATGATGCGTATAGGTAAAATTTTGGTGGCTAGATTCATTGCCATGATTACCTCGATAATCGGCAAAAGTTGTGCTGAATCGTGGATGACGTGTGTTTGGGGCGTTAAATGCGGAGAGATGTGCATCTAATCAATCATCAGAAGCCTTCAGAGGGAGTTATAGTAATTCCCGCCAAAAGAGTATTTCTACCAACTTTCCGGTAACACAAAATTATGTCATCGGAAAGTAAGGGGACTATCTGTATAGGGTAAAATATGATATGACACGTGATCATCTAAAGAAAAGACACGTGGAATCCAAGACGGGAATTGCCGAAGATCGAACGCAGCTATTCTGATTGTCATGGAAGGGATAACGTTCATAAAGGTATATTAAATGTTCTGCGCCCGATAGCATTTAATAAAGAATATTCTGCAGCATTAAGAGAGACAGTCTGTTACAGAGAATTTGGCATTTATGTTCACCGTTACATCTTCATCTATAACCTCATAATGGACATTAAAGGAGAGCACGATCCTAAGACCTCCTTCCCTAGATACAACTATAAAGAGTGAGCCTAGTTATTATTATAAGGGACATGAATCTTCTGGCTAACTTACACTACATTCTATACAAAGCTTAATACAATCTTACTTTCTCGTTTTTTGATCTCATCATTGTTGTGCCCGGAAATCTTGTTCCTGAAATTGTCATCTCTGCCGTTTTATCTACATTTTAAGCCTAAGTATTGTATAATTCTTCAATTATTTTATTATTTCAGGATTAAATTAGGTTACTTGTCTAGAAACTACGTATAAATTCAACTATACCGGTTTACGGGTAAACAAAATTACAACATGGATTAAGTGTTGCATGAGAGATTATGTGTGTATCAATAAAAGAGGCAATGAATAAATTTCAGGAAATGGTTGAGGCGGCATGGAAGGATATGAAAAAAGGAATTCTTAGTTGATACTACTTTGGAATTGTTGAACTGAATATTTTTTTTCCAATATTTTTTAAGTTACTAAAAGACTTCAGCTGGAAATGATAGATTTCGCTTAAAAGGATGTCGAAGAATTATCTAAAAAAAGAAAAGATGAGAGAATGAAAAGAAAATTTCTGGAAGTGCCGACATAATCTTATAATTTGTTCCAAGTAAAATATGATATAATGACGCGTTTAATTGAGAGGTCTTCAATTTAATAACAATTAACACATAGTTGAACAAACGGGAATAAAATGGCTCGATTAATTGAAAGAATAATCAAAGAATTCAACTAACGGCTCCATAAAAATTCTAGATAATGAGTTTAACTACTCATATTTAAAGTAATAACAATAATAAAATAATAATAACTTATGATTCACAGTAGAAAGATTGATAGAAATCGAGTGACGATGATATAGATGTTGAAGGTTCCTCTCCAACATGAAAACCTTCGTCTCTCTACTCCTAATGTGTTGCTCAATTGCTTTTTCAATACAAATAGATAACCTAAATTATAAAAAAATTACTTAATTAAAAGATTTAATAAAAGCTGGATGTCAATGCTGGATCGCGCCCTAATAAAAATGGGTCTATACTAAAGGTTCGAACTCGAGATATGTAGTTAAGGTATTTATTATTTAAATTGTTAATTCTTAGTAGCTAATACTGAATTACATTGTTACAAGTTCCTAATTTATATGGGTATGCCTCCTATGGAATAGTTGACCAATGATTATGTTGTAGTAGCCATCACTACAATCAACCACTGTTAGCCATTATCACCCCCGGCTATATTTTATTGATATGGAATTAGATAAATTAGTATTAAATTTAGACTTTATGTTTATTAAACTTAAATAAAAATAAGTTATATACATTCAAATATTAAAAAAACTAAACAATTAATCATTCCATATTCAGATCTAATTAATTCACATCTTAATATCTATACGGTAAAGGTGTACATGGGGCAGGTTGGTTCGAATTTTTCAATTACCAAATCAAACCAATTGTCTCAGATTTTTAAACTTATAAACCAAACCAAACCAACAAAAGTCGGGTTTTTCAATCACGGTTTTTCTTAGATTTTTTTTATTTTCTTGGGGTTTTCGGATTTTTTCCCGATAAAATCTTCATAGTATAAAATTTATAATTTGTGTTCTAATATTTCTTAGGTCATAGTAGGATAAAACTATATAAGATGTTACCCAATAGAATAATACAAAATAATATGAGATAATTCATGATTATACTAAAATACTCAACAAATCACATAAGATAAATATTGCTAATTAATAAGCCATAACAAAAATAAACATAATCTAAAAGTACTAAGTTGTGTTAAAATAAGTACAACTAATAAGTACTACGTATTAATTACATGAATAAATAATATTAAAAGCGAGTTATGCATTCTTACTATCTAAATCAATGCAAAACTAAAAAAACAAATCCATTACTATTGTCGTTTCTAGTATTTGAATTGAATTTTTTGTTAGCATTAGTATTAATTTGATTTTGCTTTGAGCTTTATTTGAGTTACTAACTTTTGTGGGCTATAAAATATATATGACCATTCAAAGTTCTAAGTCCAAGCTTGAATACATTAAAAGAGAGAACTAGTAAAGAGTTTAAATTATATTTATAAATTACATTACAATAATTATTTTAAAATAATTTTTAAAACTTGTATACATGTAATGTATATATTAAAAGAGAACTTTTTTTTTCCCATTAATTTCCCAGCATTACCAGGGGTACTATTATTACTAAGGACACATAAAGTCCTTCAAAAGGAACAAGAGAAGTATTATTACTTACTCTCTGTTCGACAAAAAAAATCTGCTAAGCCTATTCAACTAACAAAAAAATTGGCCTTATCATATTTTGTTCTAATGGTTTCGGTTTGACTTTTTTTTTAATTAAAACCAAATTAAACCAATTATGGTCGGGTTTTTTTTCTAACACCAAATCAAATCAAACCAAACCGTAATCGGGTTTTTTTTCTCGGTTTGACTCGGATTATCGGTTTGATGCGATTTGTTGGTTTCCTTTGTACACTCCTACTATACGGTATTGGGACTTAGATATCTCAATCTTAATACATATCTTAATATTCATATGTATTGGTCTTAATAAAATCAATAAGCCTAAATATAAAATCGTTGCAAAAGGTGGTGAAGATTCTTTTGCATGTGCTAGCATTTAGTACTAGATCTTGAACATATTTTCGACCTTTTTGTTTAATAGCATGAAGCTTGCATAACGAAGTTAATAATTGCTAAGATTATGTTCTTAATTAGTTTCAATAATAGAACTTCTTAGCATTGTCTTCTTAATTATCATTAATCAGTTCCAATATATATAAATTACAGTCAAACCTCTCTACAATAGCCATGTTTGTTCCAACATATTTTAGCTGCTATAGTGAAGTTTTGTTATAGAGGACAAATATTAATCAGTTCCTATACGTATAGATTATATTGATGCAAAGATCCAACCAACAAACACACTTCCTTTCAACGAAGAGATGCTCCTCCTCCTCCTCCTCCTCCGCCTTTTCGCTATTAGCTATTAATATCTCTTCGCGTTATAACAACATGCTTAGCCATAAATATAAGCACAGACCAATGATGCTATAGTGAATGAGTGCTATATATGAATGGTGCTATAAAAAAGTCTGATTGTATATTGATGCAAAGATCCAACCAACAAACACACTTCCTTTCAATGAAGAGATGCTCCTCCTCCTCCTCCTCCACCTCCGCCTTTTCGCTATTAGCTATTAATATCTCTTCGCGTTATAACAACATGCTTAGCCATAAATATAAGCACAGACCAATGATGCTATAGTGAATGAGTGCTATATATGAATGGTGCTATATAAAAGTCTGACTGTATATTGATGCAAAGATCCAACCAACAAACACACTTCCTTTCAATGGAGAAATCCTCCTCCTCCACCTCCGCCTCTACCTATTCGCTATTAGCATTTTTAGTAATATCTCTTCGCGTTATAACAACGTGCTTAGCGATGAATATAAGCACGGATCAATCTTCTCTTCTGGCGCTAAAAGCGCGCATCACTTCAGATCCTAATAACATTCTTTCAACAAATTGGTCTTCTTCAACCACAGTTTGTAAATGGATTGGAATTACTTGTGGTTCTCGTCATCAACGAGTTACTGTACTGAATATTTCAGGTTTAGGGTTTAATGGTACTATCCCTCCACAACTTGGAAACCTCTCTTTTCTTGTTTCACTTGATCTAAGCCACAACTATTTCCATGGCGAATTACCATCAGAAATCTCTCATTTACCAAGATTGAGAGCCATTGATCTTAGTGACAACTACTTAACTGGTCAAATTCCTTCGTTTTCGGGTGATATTCGAATGTTGTCTCTTGAAATAAATAGTTTCAGTGGGTTCATTCCTTCTTCTATCTCAAGAATCAAGAATCTTGAATTCTTGAAACTAGGTTACAACAATTTGGAAGGAAATATTCCTAGAGGAATAGCCACTGATCTTCAGAGTTTGAAATTGTTGAGCTTTGGATTCAATAAACTCAATGGCTCAAATGTGCTATCTATATTCAACATCTCATTACTAGAAGATTTGGATCTTGAAAAATCTGGTTTAAGTGGTAATCTTCCATCTGATTTGTGTCGTCGTCTTCCCAGATTGCGAAAGCTTGAACTTAATTTTAATAAGTTAAGAGGACAGATACCAAGAACCATTTCTGAATGCTCACTACTTCAAGTTCTATCTTTGATGGAAAATAACTTAGATGGAACAATTCCAAGAGAACTAGGTAACTTAAAGCTGCTGCAAGATTTAACTCTTGGAAATAATACGTTAGAAGGTATGTATGTGTTTACTATTTTTCTTGGGAGTTCAATTTTAGTGATAGTATTACAGAATTTGACAGAAGGAGAGTCTTGACGTAACTGATAAAGTTGTTGTCATGTGACCAGGAGGTCACCGGTTCAAACCGCGCCGTGGAAACGGCCTCTTGCAAGAATGCAGGGTAAGGCTGTGTACCAAGGGCGGATCTATAGCCTCAATTATGGGGCACGTGAACCCATGATCCTTCCGTCAAATTAGGTACTTTATAGAACTGATCCAATATTTTGTATTGGCACCTATGCTACATAAAAGTTGAATGGTGCACTTGGTTCAATACTTAATTATTTACTCAAAAAAACAACGATCAATTCCCACTTTACACTTTTTCCTCATCCTTTCTTTACTAGTGCACCCATGTTCTAGAAATTCTAGATCCGCCTCTTTTGTGTACAATAGACCTTTTTGGTCCGGCCATTCCCGGGACCTTACACATAGCGGGAGCTTAGTGAATCGGGGCTGCCTTATTATTATTATTATTATTATTATTATTATTATTATTATTATTATTATTATTATTATTATAGAATTTGACATATCAGTGCGAAAAGTGCTTCTTTTTGTCCTTTTTTTTTAAAAAAAATGTGCTTATTTTAGAGAGTTAGAAGTATTTAACCAAGTTTTTAGAAAAATACATATTTTTAAGTAGTAGCTGTAGTGGTAGAAAAATGTCCATGTCCCCCCGAATACACAATCTTTAATTTAGCATAAGGAGTTTTTCTGAAGTTGGAAAAAAGTACTCCCTCCGTTTCAATTTATGTGAACCTATTTTCTTTTTAGTCCGTGCCAAAAAGAATGACCTCTTTCCCTATTTGGAAACAATTTATCTTTATGCAATGATTTATAACCACACAAAATATATGTGTTTCATTTTACACCACAAGTTCAAAAGTCTTCTCTCTTTTCTTAAACTTCATGCCCAGTCAAATGAGTTCACATAAATTGAAACGGAGGGAGTAACATTTCCTTGGTGTCAAAAGCCAATTTTAATTTTTTCCATCACAAAGATATATACCCTTTTCTAAAATTTATATACTAAATTATTCCTACTTAATTTAACCTAGTGTCTATCATGGCTAAAAATACAAACCTATTCTCCTCTCTATTTTTTTGTTCTAAGGTCCTCTCAATACAAACTAAACCTTTGAACTGTTAAAAACTAAACCATCTCATGCCTTAAGAAAGTTAGGCTTCAACTTACCTTGTACTTGACATGAAATAACGCTCCTACGATTCACTGCGCCCAATTCAGGGTTGGTTTGGTATGAATGAAAATAGTTTCCATTGAAAATATTTTCCTCAAAAAAATATTTTCTTAAAAAATAAATGGTTTTCATACTTATTTTCTGGTATTTGGTGACCTAATAGAAAATATTTTTTGGAAAATATATACTTAAGCATATACTGTGAGAGATAAAATGGGTAAAGATATGAGGATGAGCTAGGTAATGGGGGTCCGAGCCAAGGTTGAGGACTAGATCAGCAGGGATTTGTGGTTGGGGTGGGGGGCCGAGATCGGGGGCAAGAGTCAGGGTCGAGATCAGGACCGAGAGTTCGAGTTTAGGGATAGGGTCGGGGTTGTGGCCCAGCTCGGGTAGGAATTCGAGGTCGGGAGTCGGGGTTCAAGATTAGATTTGGGATCAGGATCTGGGTCAAGATGGAGGATAAATTTAGGTTTGAGGTTCAAGGAGGGTCGAACATCGGGGTCGAGATCGAATTTGAACCAGAATCCCTACCCCGACCCTAAACCTCAGACCTCGAACCCTGACCCCTTAGCTAGACGTCAACCTTCGACCTCGAACCCTGACCTGACCCACAAGCCCCAACTCAGCCCTAAGAGGGTCGTGGGCTAGGGCAGGACGACCCTTTTTTTTAGAAAAAAGAATTTCGTTAAATCCTTAAATATTTTTCGTGACATAGTCGATTAATCATGTAAACAATTAATATTTACTTAGAGCATACAAAAAGCTTGATATTTGACGAGGAATCTCATAATTGAAATGCAAATTCTCTATATCTCTAGCTCTTCTTTTTTAAAGTTACATGAGTATTTTCTTAAAATTTTTCTTTTATTTTTCTCAGGATTGCTTCAATAAGTTTATATGCTGAGGTTTTTTAATATAGGATTAATATCATTTACTGATTCATAATTATAGTCCATAAAATTTTTAAAATTCCTTAAATTTGATAGTGGTCAATTTTTTTGTGTATTTAAAATTGTTCTTTTTCTATACTGAAGAGCAGTTTAAATATTAATAATATATTAAAGTAATCCAAACTGATCATTGGCCACTTAAAATAATATTTTCTTTTGAAAAAAGATTATTATTTGTCACCTAAAACTTTTCGATTTCGTTATTAATTAAGCAAAAGAAAAACTAATTTCGTCATATTCCATGCATGTCAAAAATCTAAATTCTAGTTGATATGGAAGGGTAAATGAGCAATCTAGGGTTGGGGAATGAGGATTATAGTTAATAATTTTTTTAGTTTTTACTTTTTTTAAATATTAAATAATTAATTAATTTAAATTTAATTAATTTTTGGCCCACGGGCCGGCCCAGGCCCAGCCTCGGTCAAGTCCCAAGGGCCAGCAGGCTGACTTGGTCCGGGCTTATAAGCCCAGTTTTAAATGGGCTAAAAAAATCCTAGTCCAAGTTGGGTTGGCCTCACGTGCCAACCCCAATCTAGAAACCTGATCTTGATCACCAATCCTCGATTCCAACTCTAATCTCGATCTCAACCACAACCTCGACTTCGGACCCCAATCTTGACCCCAAATCTCAACCCCGACCTCGACCTCTTCCTAAGGGAAGGGGACCAGGGAAGAGTGGGTGGTGGGGCGGGTTGGGAGGTTACTGAGGGCAGGGGTTAGAGGGTGGGTGGAGGATACAGTGGTGGTGGTGGGTCAGGAGTCTCGTGGAAATTGGGTAGTAGCAAGGGTGTGGATTAGGGGTGGGTAAGATAGAAAGACAGTTTTAGAAAATATTATTTCTCTTCTCGGTAGGAAAGTTATTTTTCTTCATTTGGAGGAAAATAAATTCATAAGAAAAATATTTTGCAAAACATTTAAGACAATGAAATATGAAAAAATTAAAAAATACTTTTCTTCGTACTAAAACATAGCCTCAATCTAAACAAACATAACATCAATTTTATCAATTCAAATTCCACACAATCTGTTTAGGCCTTAGTGATTGGTTCTAGCCACCAAATCTTCACTTCTAAGCTTGAGGTGAAATCTTGATACACCAACCTTCCTTGGAAGCCTCAAGGTTCGAACCGAACTCAAATATCACCCATGCTTCAACCACCCTTCCTTCTTTACCTTTTTCTTCAAAAACTTAAGCTAATTAGACTGATGCTAGCAAATATCTGGACTTGGAATGGAGGGGGTATACAAAAAAGAAAAAAGGTCAAAGGGGTTGGATTACCTGGATTGCTAAGGAGTCATTTGGAGTAGTAAAAATAGCACGGGCTAACCAGTTTTCGTACTAGTCATTCAAAAATAATCAGCGGTTGCAAAGTCATTGAAAAATAGCCACTATTTTGCTGCAATAGGGACTGGTCCAACATAATATACTGGAGATCGTTGCACCTGTGTATGAACTTCCAGCATATTATGCTGGAACTCCAATACGCGGAAAGTTCCAACATAATATACTAGAGATTGGAGCACCTGTGTATGAACTTCTATCATATTATGCTAAACCGGTATACTGGAACTCCGGTATATTATACTGGAGTTCCAGTATACTTATGCTGAAACTCCAGTATATTATACTGGAATTCCAATATATTATGTTGGAGTATTTTCCAGATTTTAAACAGTGTTTTCGTTCAGATTTATCTTTACATGAAAAGTGACTAAATTTCGATTACTTTTGAAACTGTGACTATTTTTGAATGTTCACTTGTAAATCTAAGTATTTTTTAATTTCTCCCTTTGGAGTATGCATATACTGGCTTACCAACCTCACAAAATAGATAATGTCAAGTCTAGTGATAGTAAGATATTTAAGTTTTCCCACAAACCTCTGATGCATGCATCATCCAAGGGTTCCTTTCTCTTTTCTTCGAACTTATAATTTTCTTCTATTAACTTTTTCACATAAACTGGGAGAAAAGGTTACGATAGCAAGCCCCTCCCCTGCCGGAGAGCCTCAAGTACAAGGAGGAGGTGATCATAATGAATTTCTTGAAATCAATTTTAAGAGTAGAGTTATGCAACCAAGAATTGGACTTTGAAAGCTAAAGACACGAGCCAAGAAAATAATGTGAAAACGATGAAAAAAACACGAACAAATTGATTTCAAATATATTAAAAACTATTTAATTTAAACTAGCATTATATATGTTACTTCATCTATTGTCAACTGCAAATATATTATATATGGTTCGTTTGATTCTCTATGACCATTATTGTATAGAGTTGAGCTCTAGTTAAATTAATGCTTTTTTATGTGATATTTCTTTTGACAGGCACAATTCCATCTGAGATTGGTCATCTTTATAACTTGAAGTTGTTAGTCATGGAAAAAAATAAATTAAAGGGCCCGATCCCTTTAACCATATTCAACATTTCATCACTTGAATTTTTATATATGAGTGGTAACATGCTTGAAGGACCTTTACCAAGAGACATTGGAAATTTGACTATGCTTACTGCACTTGATCTTGGAAATAATCACTTGACAGGTATTGAAAAAATATCCAATCCGCGTTATTTTACAGTTCAATTTTTTGGATAAAAATGAAGCGGAGCATTAGCGTAGCTGGTAAAGTTGCTTCCATGTGACGAGGAGGTCATGGATTCAAGCCGTAGAAACAACTCTTGCAGAAATACAGGGTAAGGATGCATACAATAGACCTTTGTGGTTCGGCCCTTCCCTGCACCTCGCGCATAGCGGGGGCTTAGTGCACCGGACTACCTTTTTTAATATGAAAAATATGTATATAAAAAGGGTAGTTCGGTGCACAAAGTATCCCGCATCACGCAAGATACGGGGAAGGGCCGCACCCCAAAGGGCATGATGTAGACAACATACCCTAATGCTAGCAATAGTGGCTGCTTCCACGGCTCGAATCCTTGATCTATAGGTTACACGGAGACTCTGGAAAAAATATGACACTTCTTTTCATTCACCTTTACTAATTTTTGCAGGTGTAATTCCAGATGAACTTGGTAACCTTCAAGAGTTGGTGGACCTTTCATTGTATTTGAATAACTTTAGTGGTTCTATCCCTATTGGTATCTTCAATATCTCTACTCTTGAATCTATTTCACTATCAGATAACCACTTTTCAGGTAATCTTCCTTCAACTATAGGCCATGGTTTACCTAATATTGAAGGAATATTTCTAGGTGAAAACAATATTAATGGTATTTTACCAAGTTCCATCTCAAATTTGTCTAAGCTTACAGCTCTTGAACTAGGTGGAAATGAACTTACAGGTTCCATTCCTAAATCTCTAGTAAACTTAAGACTTCTTGAAGTTCTCCACTTACAAAGCAACTCCTTTATTGGTGAAACTTCAACATTGAGCTTCATTACTCCTTTGATAAACTTAGTAGATTTGAGGTTATCTTTCAATCCCCTAAATGCATTGCTTCCAAAGTCTATTGGCAATCTTTCTCTTCAATGGTTTTCGGCGATAGGTTGTAATCTCAAGGGTCATATTCCAAATGAAATTGGAAATTTGATAAATTTATCTTCTTTGGAGCTAGAAGATAATGACTTTACTGGCATTGTCCCGACGACGATAAGTTCTTTGAAAAACCTTCAACAACTTTCACTTGGTGTAAATAGAATAAGTGGTCCTTTTCCAAATGGTTTGTGTGAGCTATCTAGCTTGTTTTTTCTAAAACTTTCACAAAATCAAATGTGGGGAAGTATTCCTACATGTTTAGGGGATTTGACTTCCCTAAGGGAGGTTTATCTTGATTCTAATAACTTCACTTCTAGCATACCTTCAAGTCTATGGAATCTCAAAGACATCTTGAAGTTGAACTTGTCGTCTAATTTCTTCAATGGCTCTCTACCACTAGAATTTGGAAATCTCAAGGCTGCAATACTTCTGGATCTTTCATGGAATCAATTATCTGGCAACATACCAAATACATTAGGAACTCTACTGAAAGTGACTCAACTATATTTGGCTCATAACAGAATTGAAGGATCAATTCCTGAGACATTTGGAAAACTCGTAAATTTGGAAGCATTGGATCTTTCATATAACAATATGTCTGGTGTGATTCCAAAGTCATTAGAGGAACTTAAGCAACTAGACTCCTTTAATGTCTCGTTCAATAGGTTACACGGGGAAATTCCGAGTGGAGGGCCTTTTGTCCATCTTCCTTTCCAATCTTTCATGTCGAATAAAGGATTATGTGGTAACCCTCAAAAGCATGTCCCCCCTTGTCCTTCTAATTCAAAGAAAAGAAGATTGATATGGATTTTAGTTGCCTCTTTGGTTATCTTTGTAGTAGGGGTTGTTTCATCAATAGTTTTCATATTGATGAGACGTCGGGGTAAAACAATCAATACTGAAGATGAGTGGACACCTGAGATAGCACCACAAAGAATTTCTTACTATGAACTTCAAAGAGCAACTCAGAGCTTTGATGGAAATAACTTGATAGGTAGTGGAAGTTTTGGTTCTGTTTACAAAGGGACATTGGCAGATGGGATGATAGTTGCTATTAAAGTTTTCAATGTGCAGATGGAAGGTACATTTCAAACTTTTGATACAGAATGTGAAATCTTGCGGAATCTTCGTCACAGAAATCTCACCAAGATCATAAGCAGTTGTTGTAACTTGGATTTTAAAGCATTGATACTTGAGTACATGCCAAATGAGAGCTTAGACAAGTTGCTATATTCGCGAGATTATTGTTTGAATATAATGCAAAGATTGAATATCATGGTTGATGTTGCTTCTGCACTGGAATATCTCCATCATGGTTACTCAGTACCGGTTATTCACTGTGATCTGAAGCCTAGCAACGTGTTACTTGACAATGACATGGTGGGACACCTAACTGACTTTGGCATTGCCAAACTTTTGACTAAGGAAGAATCTATTGCTCACACTACAACCTTTGCCACAATTGGTTACATTGCTCCAGGTAAATTCTTTATGCAACTTTATCGGTCAGCCAGATGCACGAAGCATCCACGTTCACGCAGGGTCAGGGGAAGGGCCGCACCCCAAAGGGGATGTAATGTAGACAGCCTACCCTGATGCAAGCATCAATGGCTGATTCCACGACTCGAACCCATGACCTAGAGGTCACATGGAAACAATGTTACTGTTGTTCCAAGGCTCCCCTTCAAATTCGTTATTTAGCTTTGTAACAAAGTAATTGATTAACACATAATAAGTTTATTTGCTGACATATTGTTTTATTTTTTCTTGTTTAGAGTATGGTTTGGAAGGCCTTGTATCCAAGAGGTCTGATGTTTATAGTTATGGTATCGTGTTGCTGGAAACCTTTATAAAGAAGAAACCTAATGATGAAATGTTCGCGGGAGATTTGAATTTGAGAAGCTACGTGCATAATTCGCTTCCAGATGAGCTGAATAAAATCATAGATGCCGACTTACTAACACTAGATGAAGAAAACTTAAGTCAAAAGCTGCAATGTGTATCATCAATCATGGAGTTAGCCATGAATTGCACCGCTAATATTGCAACTGAAAGGATGAACATGACTAATGTTGTAGCAGCATTGAAAAAGATCAAACAGAAGCTTTCTTCATGTTATCAAACGACCTTACGACATGACATCAGGTACTTTAATTCCATATTTCATTTTGAAAGAAAAAAGTTATAAAGTTCAGTAGCATTTGACCATATCAGTAGTTGTAGTTGTTCGACGTAGGCGGATGTAGAATGAAAGTTATGGGTTCACATGAACCCAATAGCTTTTGCTCAGACTCTATATACTCATGTACTACGAAATTCTAAAATATCTATAAATATTTGACTCTGATCCCAGTTATTGCTATATATTAACTTGAGATCATTACAGGAACCAATAAACTTCAAATTCTAGATCCACCTCTGGTTGTTTGTCGAATGTTATTGCTGGATTCTATGGTTATTGGAAGTTAAAGGGATGAAGGCTCTCAACTACGTCATACTTAACGAAGTTACTACAATTTTGGAGACAAATGTTATATAAAACCGTTGATAGCTTGTGTCCATTTTCTTTTTCTTGATGATCCATATTTGTTTTAAGAATTTAAAACTTTTTACTCCAATTCTTGCATAACAATAAGTGTTTTTCTTTTTCCTTGTTCTTTACTAATCTAATATTATACAACTCCATGGCATGTCATACTCTGTATTTCTTGTGTAGCAACAAAGAGCCTTTCCTTTACCTAATTCTCTCAACATATCAACATCACAATACCACTACTTTGTTAGCACTAGTGGCCAAGCCAAGAATTTCGTTAAGAATGTTTATATTTGACTTATATATACAATAATTTTCCAGCAAAAGCGAAAGATGGTCAACTGACCATCCTTCGCAACCACCCTTAGCTTGTTGTAGCTCCTCCTCGGAGAGATTTATAGGATAATTTTTAGCAGAATGATCTCTGCCTACTATCAACCAATTAAAGAACTCCATACTGATGACTACAATACAATTACTGCACTGCCAAATCAACTTTATTTTTTTGACTAGAGAAAAATATTGTAAACTATTCAACAGTATCGAGACTGTAACAATATGCTACCCAACTCGCAACAGGAAACGTCTTTAATTATATGTTTTCATTCCCCCGCTCTAATTATCGCGTTCATGGATGTCACGGAGATGGAAGAATAAACATTTCATATGGCCAGAAAAACCTAAGAATGAAACCGTGAAAAAATCAACTGTGCTACAAATGAGTTTTTAGCATTTCTGTAGTTTGTTGTACTGAATGTCTAGAAGCTGCAATGCCAGGATAATAAGCAAAAAAGAAGTATATCTACATCTTCACGTCAACATAAGAAAAAGAATGAGTTATGAAAATTTCGATCCATCCAGCCCAACCAACAACTCATGACGGTTACAGATACTCAATCTGTACGACAACAACAACCCAGTGAGTGTCCCACAAGTGAGGTCTGGGGAGGCTAGTGTGTACGGAGACCTTACATTTACCTTGGGAGGATAGAGAGGTTGTATCCAATAGACCCTCGGCTCAAGAAGGAAGAGAGAAATAGTAAAAACAAGCACTACCAACACCAAGTGCTAGCGGCAACCCGGTGCACAAAGCATCTCGCATTATACAGGATCCGGGGAAGGGCCGCACCCCAAGGGGTGTGATGTAGACAACCTACCCTAATGCAAACATTAGTGGCTGCTTCAACGGCTCGAACCCGTGACCTATAGGTCACAAGGAGACAAAGTTACCGTTGCTCCAAGACTCACCTTCCTATTGAAAAGCATTTAGAAACCAAATGTCGAGTATGCTACACCAAAGCAAAGCAAACAGCTTGAAGAAACAATTATCCATGTTCGTTGAAACTTTTAGTAAGGACCTGAATGCATTCATTAATATGAAGATTCGTCATAACAATTTTTATGCTGGCCGTCGACCTACACGCTAAGCTCAGAAAAAAATGCAATTGCTTATGCTTCTCAGATATATATTAGCAATAGAAAAGCAGTACATATACAAGATATAGCATAGAACTATCATATGGAGGACCATATAATATGAAATATGGAACATTGTAACGTTACAGTTCCCTGTAACTTAACACTACGACATAGTTAAAAGCTTACTTTACGATATTCAAATGCTGGCAAGCTAAAATTTTACCTTTATTTTCACAAACATAAGAGGCATTCATTTAGCACTTGTTAAGCACTAGCGGCATCCCCAATAAGCTTGAAGTCTTCCAATTGCTTGAAGTTCTGCCACGGCTTCACCCAGACCTTGGCTTCGTATGCTTTCTTCTTACCACCTTCAGTTGCCTCCAGTGTTATGTAGTACATGGTTCCAGCAACCACTTGTTCCTTCACATTAACAACCTTTCCGAACTCCAGAAGTGCATTCTGATATAGAACATTGTTCAAAAAGCAAGAAAAGTAGCCCATGAGTGCTGAAGCAATCAATCTTAGTCGTAACAAAGTGCAAAGAAGATAAAGGCTGTCCCTGTACATGCTTAATCACAGAGACACCAGCAAAGATTTATCCAATTCAGGCTTTCTAAAGTGGAAGGGGAGCCTCGGCGTAACTAGTAAGGTTGCTGCCATGTGACCGGGAGGTCACGGGTTCGAGCCGTGAAAACAGCCTCTTGCAGAAATGCAGGATAAGGTTATGTACAATAGACCCGGCCCCGCGCATAGAGGGTGCTTAGTGCACCGGGCTGCCCCTTTTTTTAGACTTACTAAAGTGGTCAAAAGCATACTAAAATACTTATTTTGTTATTTCTGTTTGGATGAATGCAGCTCTTCTCCTCTTCTCTTGGCTCTCATTCCCACCATGAAAAAGCACTATCTAAACTACCGCATCCTAATGAAGAATGCCCATTTCAAGCACGTAAACTTAAACAAGATGAAAGTTTGAACATTTGTACAAGCTTATCGCAATTAGTTTAGCAACTTATAGGCTAGTACTCACTTTGTTCCAAAAATATGAGATGCAATTCAACATTCAAGATTCAAAAAGATGAAACTCTGGCTGAAATTTTCTTTAATAATTACCTATTAAGGTAATGACTAAAGGTCTAAATCATTACTATAAATGATGTTGTTTCAGAATATATCTACAAGATTTACATTTGAAAAGATTAATAAGTTTATCGCTAGTTTGAGGCAAACAGATCAAATTAACTCCTGAAAGATAATTAGATTCACACAATTTTGGATCAAGAAAATATCTATTCGATAACCGAGAAATTCCCTGAGGGCTGGTGGTGCAAGGTTCGACAATGGATCGGCCCGTCTTACCCTTCTCTACTTACCCAACTCTTAGCTTAGTAGCCTTAAAACTATTCATAAGCAGGTCAGGTATTAAATACTTGTGCTAAATGGTCAAACTACTTGTTCAAACAAGTTTTTGGTCTAACCACTAGATAGCCACTTATCATAGTCAGCACCTAGCTTAAAACTTCAGCTAACAATGTAGGTGCTTGGAGGATATTCCGTTATCAGTATATTATCACAATTCGGCTTGTACATGAGTTTAGATCTGGAATTGTGGAGATTTTAAGGCTTTACTTCCTATTCCAGAAAGATGTTACTTTGCAGTATTTTCTGAGGCATATTGTATCTATACATATTATTTTCTTAAAAAAATATTTAACCTACACATATTCATTGACATTTTTCTATGAAGCATTGTCATGTTCGATGATACGGCTTGTAATAAGGTATCCGCCACTGAGAAGGAGGATTGCAGTAAGTTGAGTTCGTCTAATTTGGAGAAAATGATCTCATGTACCCACTTACGATTTTAATAGAAGAAATTGCTCCTACGATGATCGCTTGTGTTTTATGTAAAGATCTCCCGTGTTATTTTTGCTGATCTTCAAGGTTCATATAACTAAAATAATATTTATAATGGACTACAAAATCAAATCACCCTCTTGAAGAAAATTGAGACACAGTAGATCAATAGCTTGATTGATTTTCTTTTTATTTTGTTTAAGTTACACACAATTTCAGTTTAAAGATTTTGCTACACTATCATGTCGCATTTACTTGTTGTAGCAAATAACCTATAAAATAGGCTTACAGTGACAGTGAGTATAACAAACCCATTTTTATATAACAATTTCTTTTGTTTTAAAAATAAAATAACACAGGTAAAAGAAACATTTGAACATGGGAACATTTGACAAACACATTGCAACCCTAGGTAAAAATAAGAGGAACAAACACAATCAATTCCACAATCAGGGGATAAAAACAAAGGTCAGTTCCAATTAGGGGTGTTAAATGGGCCGGTTGGATCAATTTTGGGCGGGTCAAAATAGATTCAATTAATGAACCGCCCAAAAGTTACTTGGATTGGGTCAAGATAGGCTAAACTTTGGATCATACCCCAAGCCGTCCAACTCTTGCCAAACTTTAATTAAGATGTGTTGTTTTCTTATGAATTGTATATTTCTAAGATATTCTGGGGCAAAATTACTCATGTATTAATTGGGGCTAAAAATAAACCCAACTTTCAATAAATATGCGGGTCAATAATCACTCCAACCTTGAGCGGGTTGGGCGGGCTTTTGCCAAATTTGACAGCCCTAACTCCAACAAAATCAAAGAAGAAAAAACAAAATATAACTTCTTGTTTGAGAATAAGGAAAAAGAAAAAAGAGGGACCTGTTTCTTGTTGTGTTCATCAACAGCAAAGCGAGCAAGATCATTGATCTCAAGACTGTTCTCAGATCCTCCTGCCTCACGAATTCCTCCTAGAGTTGCCATTAATTCTCAATTTTTGCACTAATTTTGGGTTTTCTGCAAATGGGTTTTTAAGAAGAATAAATATATAGAGACTAAAGCAAGTGTAAAGAAAGAAGATGAATGAATCGTCAGTCACTGTCTACGAATCTACAGAGCGCGTTTTGATTAAAGTTGCACCGAATAATGTCATGTCAAATTGGTCGTTACCTAAAGTTACGCTCGTCATGTAACAAGAAATTTAACAATACAATACAATAAAATTTAATTAATAATCAAAATAAATAATGTATTTAAAGTAAGAAAATCTTACGGAAATATCCAAAATAAGCTTAAACTTACCAACCTCTAACTAAAACTAGTCAAGTGGATACAAAAATTAAAAATCCAGATAAATAAGGATTCTTTTTTTTCAAGAATCATACACAAATATTCCATTCTATATTTTTAACCGTAATTAGCAATATTAGATGCTGCAATTCATAATGACATATATCTCAAATAGATGATAGCTAATGCACACAAAATCAATCTCATAACTTTTTTGCAAGCAGAAGAAAAGAGAAAAACGAGTGAAACAAAGTGAAGCTGACGGGAAGGGAAGATCTACTTGGAATTAGTTGTCAATGAATCCCAAGTATGACATATATAGAGGAAAGAAAATCCTGCTTGCAGTAAGAAGCTTAAAAAATGAAGCTCATTTGTTTTTATATCCCACTATAGTAATGCCAATAAAAATCGAAAATAGGAGACCAAAAATAATGAGAAAATAACTTGTAACTATGAAGCTATAAGGTATCAGACGTACGGAAACATCTAGTGTTTATGTCAAATCAATCATTACATGACATTTGGGTTTGACACATATGTTGATCACTTAAGATCAATTGATGTATACGCTCGTTACCTCAATATATCATTTATTTTAGAAATTATTGTTTTAATGGAATAGCAACCAAAGTTGGTCGCTTTTTGAGAAATCTGGGTTAATTAGCGACTAACTTTGGTCGCTATTTTCCAGAAAATAATTTTTTTAATAGAAAAGCGACCAAAGTTGGTCGC